TTACCAATCTTCATTTCTGTGTTGGTGAGTAACGTAATATTCTTACTGGGTTAGTATAGCTCACTCTTTCATTAACTATTTCAGATCAAGAGAACTAAGATACAGAACCCGATTCACAAGAAGGTTGCGAGTAGGATGTCAAATTATTTATTTTCCATTTATTTATTTGATTTTCGTTATTTCAATTAAAAACGTCATTCCCGTAACTCTATTAATAATCTGAATTATTGTGTAAGGAATGTAAACCCTAACTATTTATTTCGTTTCCGCATTCAATTCATATTTATTTCTTTTTTAGTTCACTGGTCGTTACACTTAACATATAATTAAATGTAGAAATAGCAACCAATGAAGTCTGAGTTAAATATATGAATATTTCAATTTGATTTTTTGAATTACACGAAATTTGAATTTGGACCCAACATCAATAATATATATATATATTTACCCCAAATTGAGTATGTTTAGAGGGAGCTTGAACTCAAATTAATTCAAACTGCATAGACACTCAGATTTAACATATTATTGCCTAATTTATTTATTTTTTAAGAAATATATTAATATATAATTAAAAATTAATTATTTGTAAAACACAATGTGTATTATATATTTTGGTAAAATATATAATATATGTGTAAGTTTTAATAGATGAATAATAAGTTGACTGGCTTTTAAACCAAACACCTTAGGATTCGCGTTCTACTAATTTAATACTCTGATTAATTTAGGTTTAACGAAAATGAAAGACACTTTGATCTAACCGAACGCCAACTTTGTTCACTTTCATGCCTACTAACATAAGCACGCGTACATATTCAATATGTAACATTAAGTTTTAATTTAATCACATAACATATTCCTCCAATAGCTAGGCGTTGAATAGAGAAGATAAACAAAGTGGGCACAGACGTCAAGTGGCCCTCTTTCTGCTCATTATAGTACACCTTGAGTTGTTTAAAAAACACTCTGTACACACACACACACACACACACACATATATATATATATATATGTATATATTGGGTACTATTCAAAATCTAGCAGCGTTGACAAACGCTCCATTATTGCCGGTGGCCATTTGGGGTACATTATATAATATAACAGCTAGCAACATTTTCTCCTACCCAGAGATTACCACATACATCTCTTTCTCTCCCTCCCTCCCTTGGATGCTTAGATTCTTGAATTGTCGTTTAATTTGATCTCTCCACCCTCTGTAATATCTTAGATATAGTAAGCTTTATCCCAGAAGTTTCTGTACCAGTTGTTAATGGAGAATGTAGAGAGAACTTTGAAGAACTGGCCAGAAAGAAGCCAGTCGGTTGGATTAAAGGAAAGCAAGAACAAGTCTTTCTCTTCCTCAGGGAGTCCTATCAAGAAGATAATCATGCTAAAGAGTAAGTCATGGCATGGCACCTCCTCCTCCTCATCATCACCCAAAGCAGACAGCAACAAGAAGCAAAAAAAGATAGCACCAGAAGGCTGCTTCACCGTCTACGTTGGACCAGAACGACAGCGTTTCGTGGTGAACACCAAGTTCGCCAGCCATCCCTTGTTCAAGATGCTACTAGAAGATGCAGAAATGGAATACGGGTACAGTAGCCAAGGTCCCATTCTGCTTCCCTGCGATGTTGATTTGTTCTACAAAGTGTTGGCGGAGATGGAAGAGTTAACCACCCCGGTTTGCAGCGTTGCGAAGGGGTATTATAGTCCTTTCACTCTTTGCAGCCCTATTACTCCTCGTCGTTCAAATTCTTCCTCTACTACATACAAGGGTTTTGGTCGGTATCAACTTCTCAAGCCATCAAGAATGCTCAAGTTGGATACATGATGATCATGATCTTTACAACTCTATAAATTCAAGTGGAATGTAAGACTTTTATTTCAGTTTTATGCACACTTGATTATATATACATATATAAATATATATGTAACACATTCACAGTCTGTAATTACAGCAAAAAGAGACTGTGTGCTTCTGAGTATATTTTCTTCCACGAAGAAAAGACAGGTTATATATGTAAAAGAATAACCTAATGCAGATTAGGTTGATTATTAAAAATTTGTACTGTTCTCATCTGAAAATTTTCCCAGTTATTTTCTTCTCCTTCCTTTTTTTTTTTATTTATTTATAATTTGAATTTAGTATGTAAAAATTATTAAGTATAAAAATTAGAATAAAAAATATTTGGAGATTAATTTAGGGTCATTAAATGTAATTATACTAATTTATATTTTAAGTAATGAGGTAAAATTGTTTTGTTTCTTTTAGATCCAACCCAATTTGATATTATTGCAAATTCAATTATGGAACTGATCTAATTTTGACTATTGTTATAGTTTTATCAAAACTATATAAAATTTATTTGTCCCATAATAGATTAATAAAAGTATATGAAAAAAATTATGTCTTTTATGTAATTTATTAATAATAAATTATTACAAAGTGAATAAATTTTATTTTTTAATACCTTAAAGTTCAAAAGTAACAGGAGAAGGTGCCAAAGCGCCATAGTCTCGAACACATTGATTCCAGACCTCTTTCCCTCTAACTTCCACCTTATCTGTATTCTCGCTGAAATGATCAACCCACAAAATAATCTCCAACAACCCGAGATGACATTCTTTTCCCATATCTAATAATTTCAGGCAACATAATTTCGTCACTTTTATATCTTCAAACATGTGCAGAAAAATTTGTCGTCCACATTCATCGTTCAACTTGTCTGCACAATTTTCTAAGAATTTTGCATCCTCAGGTGATAAATTTGGGTCGTAAATAGATCCTGGTGCAGGACTTATGTCTTCGACAAGTCCAAACGTCGGAGAAATCATGAACGAAGCGATTAAAAACACGATGGTTAGTGTAATGTAATTCCCTGGTTTTTCCATTCTTCAAACACTTGTGGTGTTTCCCAGGAATAGATGCTATTATGGGAGATTGTGTTGTGGCGGCTTCTTGGTGTTTTATAAGTTTTATGGTGTGGTGAATTAGTTGTTTATTGTTCTTGAAACGGAACATAAATTTAATTAATAAACCTAACATTGCTTTAATTGCACTAATGTTCTTAAACTTCTAAAGCGTTTTCTATTGTTTATTTAATTTTATCTTCAAAGAATATTTAGCCACTGAAGAGCAACTTTGATATGTATATATTTTTTTTACCTAATCTGATTTTTGTTGAGTATAGTTAATTAAAAATATTATAAATACTCATCAAATTTGTGGGTATATATTCTTTCAACTTATCCTATAGTTTTATAACTTCAGTAAGATTGACTAACTATTTGATGTTACATTTTTTATCCAAATATAATTCATGATTTACTGATTCATCAATTCATACACATTTATTTATCTTTTCTACCCAAATATACATGCATAGATGGTGATATACATCTTCTTCCTCCTCTTGATAGATTAAAGCCAACAATTTATTTATATATATATATATATATATAATTAAATTTATTCTTTTTGTACTCTAAATTAAATTTCTTGTAAATTCCTTTCTCTTTACATCAATAGATGAAGATTTTGTTATTACTGGAGTTCTTAAGCAGTTAATTAATATCTTAAAATTCAAGTTTTTTTTTTCTTCTAATTTGGTCCTTTTATTAAATGCATGCTATATCATTAAAATAATAATAATAATAATAATTACTCTATCAATTTAACCCGTTAAGATATGTGAATTACATATCCGTACTTCTTTCCTCTAAAAACACACATAGATTTTCTTTTCAACTTTTGAGTCGATGTTCCAATTCAAGATTAAACAAATTCGAACCGATTGAATACTTGTATAAAAAATTCTCCTAATCTCAATAATTATCTTCTTTCTTCTCTTGATTGATAAAGAGCCAACAATGTCTCCAAGTAAAGTGATCTCTTTTGTACTTTAACCATACCTCTATAATTAAATATCAAGTTATTTTCCTTTTTATATTAGAAGGCAAATGTTTTGGTATTACCAGAGCTTTTAGTAGAAATTAAAAAAAAAAAAAGTAATTTTAGTTGTAATTATTAAATCATTGTCCGTTATCAAAAAAAAAAAAAAAAATATATATATATATATATATATAAAATAATATTATGTTATCTATTATCTATTATATATTTAATTAAAAACTAAACTAAACTAAACTAAACGTTTACCTATTTAAGAATTACGTTAAAATTACAATTTATTAATTATTTAAAATTCTACAAAATTAAAATTGTTAAATTAAAATTTTTTTACGCTATAAATCTTGGTTTATCGTATTTATGCACCATCTTGTGGTCAAATTTGATGGAAACTCCATCAGCATATTATTATTCCCTCAAGTTTTAAGTTGGATTAGGATTATATGAAAGAAAGGAAAAATAAAATTGTTAGAAGCATATGAAAAAAATATGTAATTTATTATTAATAAGTTATTACAAAGTAGAAGAATTTAACAAATAATCTTTTCAATACCTTAAACTTCATAAGTAACAGGAGAAGGTGCTAAAGCGCCATAATTTCGAACACAATGATTCCAGACCTCTCTCCCTCTAGCTTCTACCTTATCTGTTTTCTCTTGGAAATGATCAACCCACAAAATAATTTCCAGCAACCCTAGATGACATTCTTTTCCCATGTCTAACAATTTTAGGCAACATAACTTTGTTACTTGTGTATCTTCAAACATGTGCATAAAAATTTGTCGTCCACATTCATCATTCAATTTTTCTGCACAATTTTCTAAAAATTTTTCGTCCTCGGGTGATAAATTTGGGTCGTAAATAGATCCTGGTGCAGGACTTATGTCTTCGACAAATCCAAGCGTCGGAAAACTCACGGACGAAACGATTAAAAACACGATTGCTAGTGTAATGTAATTCCCTAGCTTTTCCATTCTTTAGAGAGTTGTGATTTGGATGGGAAAGGAATAGATGCTGTTGTGGTTTGTTGGCGTAGGACTTATATAAGTTTTGGGGAGTGATAAATTAGTTGTTTATTATTCTTGAAACGGTACATAAATTAATTAATCATCCAACGGCTCTACATTGCTTTAATTAATTATAAGTGTTACAAATTTCATTAATGTTCTTAAGATTATTAATGCATTTTGTACTACTTACTTAATTTGTCTTTAGAGAATATTAGCCGCAAAAGAGAAATTTTGATAAGTATGCATTTTTAGTCTTATATTCTTACCTAATTTATTTATGTTGTATATGTAATTAAAAATACTTAAATTAATTAAAATATTATAAACACTCGTCAAATTAGTGGGTAATAATTATATATATATATATATATATATTTCAGCCTATCCTATATCTTATAAATCAAGATAGC